TTAGAGGATGTAGAAGAGGGTTCATAAACACTACCAAAATAAGAAGAGAAAGCGTTGGAGATATTCTCATCATCAGAAAAAACGTTTCCATTAAATGACATTGTATTGGGTAATTTATTATTTTGCCTTTTATTTGCTACAAAATACCAAAATGACTTGCAATTGCTTTTTATGTTATTTTCAGTGTTAGCGACATAATCGCGATAATCCTTCTTAATAGCGAGTCTTACGGCTTTTCTAGCGTTAGAAAAATTTACATAATCCAAATTATTTTGAAACCTTTTCCAACGCCGATGAAACTTATATTTTTCTTTAATTAAGGATTTCGTATTTGCTGAGTACCATAAGGGAAATTTATTATTTATCTTTTTTTGGGGGACAAAGCGCCGTATGATCTGGTGAATAATACTATAAAAACGGTTCACTGCGGCATCGACATCAATATCCAAAAACAAATTATGCCAGTTTATGTCATTAATTTCCCTGTTAATAATATCATAATTAGCATGGTGAAATTTAAATTTAGAATAAGAGGTACCATTTTTTAATCTACACTCATCATTGATATTGACAACAATATTCAGAGATTTATGATGCAAGTCCTCTTCTACAAAAGGCAAATCACACGTCGTAACCTTGACATCAGTAAGAGAACTAAAAACTAGATCCAACGACCTACCGTTGCAATTACGCACTCCATTGTATTGACTGAAGTTGAGGAGACTATAACCATCAACAAGACATTCTCCAAGGCGATCATGAACAACGGTTGCAATAAAACAATTTCTTGAATTGTTAAGAGTCCACAAAATTTTGGGCACATTATAATCACCAACGATTAGAAAGCGATCATCAGGGCGCGATTCAACAATATTAGATAAAGTATTCAAATGAGCCATTAGATTTTGCTCCGTGGCGTAGGGTGGCACATAGACGCAACACACATGTAGTCTTACACTTGGATTTAGAGACACTGACACCCACATATCTTCACAAATTCCTGGAGATGTCCACGCAGCTTCAGACCTAGATGAGAGCTTCCTATTAACAGCAATTAACACTCCACCGCCATCTTTTTTCCCGGTTGTTGCTAAATTACGATCCTGACGATAAACTTCATAAGTATTTAAATCAAATAGTTCTCCATCCTGAATCCCTTCATTCAGCCAAGTTTCGGTTAGACATATAATATCTGCACAACAGCTTAGTGAAGATGTATAAAAATCCTGTGTTTTAGACCTTAAGCCCCTGGTATTCTGATAATAAACTGATAACTCCATTGAAATAATATAAAAAAAATGTACTTAAGTTAGTATAAAACCAAACTGCTGCCTACAGTGAAGTTTGCATAGCGGCAAGAGCAGCATCACTGGTAACATGAAGTATTTTACCATTTTGCGGGAAACGCACGAATATTTTACAGTCTCTTGTCCAACAAGTGGCACCACTGGATTTAGCGTAGAGCCTAGTTTTTCTGTAGAGCTGTTTATTCTTGGATGTTAGGTGATCATTAATAAATATCGGACTATCACCAGCAAATCCTATCTCATTGACCCTCAAGCCTCTACGTTTCCTAATGGAAGCAAGGACATTATCTTTCTGCGCACGAGAGTTCATTCTCACAATAATAGACCTAGAATTCCTATTTTTAGAATCAATATGTGGTACTCTGAAACATGAATCAAAACCTACATCTGGTTCCTCAAGGATATTAAAAATGTTATTAATAATGGATGGCAATTTCTCATTGTGATTCTCCGGAATCCCATTGATTTCCAGATTGCTTAAGCGTGCCTGTTGTTGAATGTGATCAACTTCAATTTGTAAATTATTCAGATCAGATGAGGTAGTTGCAACAGTGGACTCTAATTTAGGAATAACTCTAAGTTGTTTTTCAAAATCAACCATTTTTTTAGTGAATTCATCAATTTTATTGCCGTAGAATTCCACAGATTCAGTGACAGATTTTTGCTGATTCATAACAACATCCAAGTTTGCTTGCATTTTATCCATTTTATTGCTCAAGGTATTCATAGTTTCTACTAGTGCAGATAGACATGTGTCAACAGTTGCAGATTTATTAGCAGATCTGTTCTCAGAAGTGTTTTCAATACAGGAGGAACATTTAAATAAGAATCCAGGGAATTTCAGTACTTCAATTGGAATAGGCGGCTTAACGCAGTTCAAATGGGATACGCCACTGCAGGCGCCACATCGTATTAGGTGCCGACCTGAAACCTTGAGTTCACAGACGATACAATTTTCAGCCATAGCCAGTAGCAAAAAAACTTTCCGGTCGGACAAAAACAGAAACACAACAAAGGAACTATCGCCAAGCAAATCGTTTTTAACACTTGAATAAAATTTCCAAATCCACGCAATAGCGCGTGGAAAAATTTATCCAAGAATGAAAATATTGATAACCAGTCTTCAACTAACAGTTGTAAAAGTTTAAAAAATTTCGGAGCACAAATAACCACTTTTATACTGCAAAATGTAAGAGAGGAAAAATTACACGTGTACTACAGTTGTACACACACTACACACATTATTAAGGCATATTGGCTCCAATCGTAATATTTTGAAGTAAAAAATCTAGTATGTGTCTATGGACCATTACTTACGGACCACCCTGTATTTACACCCACACTACAAATACAATTTCCAGGTAACTTATACAGATCATTTAGAAAAGAAATTTACCCATTTATTTAATCAAGTACACAAAACGCTAAACTATATTTTACATACACGTAATACCTATGGTACCTACTTTCATAACTGTCAAAGGACTAATCTTCATTTTTAAATTTAAAATTATGCTTATGTGAAAAATGATGCCTTAAATACTAATTTTTTTAAAAGACAAATGGCATTCGTCGCATTTAAACAATGTTACTTCATATTCATATTCAATTATAACTTTATCCTTCAGCCCATGAATTTCTCGGCAATGCTGGTTATAATTATTTTGGTGCGCAAAAACTAGCATTCGAATCATAGAACAGCCATTTTTAAAGTACTCAAAAATCCAAAATCATAAATTAGAACATTTTACATAACCTCAAATAAATTTCTATGAATGGTACGGTTACGATTGTCATTGTACTCATACGCATGCGCACTAGAGGGATCGCATTCCTATGTTTAGACGCCAGTGCCACATGGGCACAGGCAATTTAAATCCAGACATGCCCCCAGCCTTAAAAGAGGTCTAACATTGAATTTGTACATACATGAATTGATACTGAACTATGCTACTGACATGGCCCATGGGCCTTAATTTACATTTTGCCTTATGATTTATCTACTGTGTCTATCGGAAGAGGACACAACGCGAACTACACTGTCGTCACCAGGATGAAGCGCGATGATGCGTCCGAGGCGCCATTTGAACAGAGGTAGGTTTTCGGCGTTTATGAGCACCATAGCTCCTACAGCTATGTTTTCCTGATTCGTCTTCCATTTGGTCCTTTGTTGCAATTAAGCCAAGTATTCTTTCTTCCATCTTGACTAGAAATATTGTTTCAGTCGCTCCAAAATATGTAAAGTACGACCGATGAGAAAATGAGCAGGCGTTAGGACTTCTAAATCATTAGGATCCGTTGATAAAGGAGTTAACGGACGGGAATTTAGGATGCCTTCTATCTGCGTTATAGTTGTATAGAAACTTTCAAATGTTAGATTAACGTTTGATAAAACTCGTTTGATATGTTTCGCGAATTTTACTCCAGTTTCCCCTCCTTGGTGTGGGGAGCAAGACGCGATAACATGCCATTTTACCGATTGTTTTAGCTCAATTTGTTGAGTTAATCTTGTTGATTGCTCTTAATAAATTTACCTAAGTCTCTTAGGTGATTATTTGCACAAAGTTTCAACCATTGTCGCTGGATCTTGCTCTAAAGTCAATTCCAGTCACTATTCCCAAGATATTGTTTTTTTTAACATTTTGAGCACATAGCCTGATATGTAACTCACAACATTTTGACTATTCATTTAAGCTAATATAATATGGTGTTATATCATAATCGTGGTCTTGAGTAAATATCTCATAAGTAATATTGTTTTCTCTGAGATCTGAAACATCTATTGTTTGAACAAGAGGTATTTTTTTGTGCCGCTTGAAACTGTGAGTATAGTAGTTGTATCCATTACTCTACAACTTCCTCCACTTGCTGATACGTTTGCATGCAAAATTAACTTTCTGTAACTTCTCATAATTAACTGTTGGGCTGTTGGATTATTATTATTCCAACCATTTCGGAACATGAAGATATTATCCATATTTAAAGAACCAATACAGATTTAAAAAGAATACCTTACCTTACTGCACAAAAAAATAATTCCAATCTTGACTCCACTTGAACGTTAAGAGAGAAATTTTAATTTATATTTCTTAACAAATTCATCAAATATTTCCATTACTGATTTGAGTGTTACTACAAATCTTATGGAGTTTTTTTCTTCGTGTTGCCCATTTTAAGTAAATAGTCGAAGCTTTCATTGACAAATGGTCTCCATTGGCAATTCGGGGTGAAACTTTCATACCTCTGGGTTGGGTTATTCTAGAGTTTAAAATATCAAAAATTGAATCTATTTCCTTAAAAAAAATTTGCTGTGGCCTCACATCCTTGAAACTCTGGGTGTTTCAAATCATTGCAAAGAAATAAAAGAGCTTCAGCAATACTGGTACTCAATGTTTGAGCTGCCAGATTTACCTAAAACGCTTTGATAAATTAACATTAACACAATAAAATTGTCTTAACGCTTTACCCTCATTTTCTGTTTCTGCCAGTGGATATGAGCTTTTCCTAATTTATTTGCTAAAGATAAAGTCTCTTGTTCTTGAATGTTAAATATAATTTTGCAATGAATACCCTCTCTATTTCATTTCCTGAAGTATCAACTAAAACCCCTAACAAGCAATTTCGAATTAATTTTAACGTGTGACATGCATCAAAAATGGCATACAGCTTTTTATTTTCATCACAGGGATGTACAAAAAAATTAATTAAATTTTTAATTGAGAAATTGAAGCGTAATTGTTTGAACATTGTAAAGTGGGCAGACGGACCATCACAAGTAACCGATGTTACTTCCACACCTATTTCATGTAGCCTTATCTATCTCTATACTAGAATCATTTCCAGATGAAATCCAACCAGTTGTACTAAATTTAGGAACCTGCCTTCTTGCAGGAGATCTTTCTAAAGTGCAATACATACATATAAAGAATCCTGCACAAAATCAATGGAAAATGGGTCCCAGTAGATTTAGCTGAAATTGCAGTATGTTATAGTTTTTGACTATCTGATCAAAAGTTGTCATGTGCCCAAAGTGATCTTATGAATAGTTCCAGAGATAAAGAGGGGAAAGTATGTGATTTTCACTGTAGGACTGTTTCTGAGGCATGTAATGAATTTTAACCAGTAGGTACAATGCTTTTGGGGTCGCTAAACCTGAATTCTTGGATAGCTTAGCTATCTAAGGTCACCTGGAGGCCAGGTAAAGGTCGTTTCAAGGTTAAACTGAAGAAAAGACTTTTATTGAATTTTAAATAGTGAGTATATAGGTTTTTGGGCTGGCAGAATTTGAATCTGGAAATAGCGTAACCCTATAGGTCGTCTTCAAGTCAATTCAAGGTCATTTCAAGATCAAACAAAAGAAAAGGCTTGTATTGAATTTCAACCAGTGCGTATATAAGTTTTTTTTTTGGGGGGGGGGTCTGAATTCGGGGATAGCTTAGCCCTATAAGGTCACCTGGAAATCAAGTCAAGGTCATTTCATTTGATTTAATCTCAATTCAAGCCCCGCAGGTGACCTTATAGGGCTAAACTAACCCGAATTCAGGTTCAGCGACCTCAAAAGCATACATACTTACAGGCTAACATTCGTGATAGGCCTTTTCTTTACTTTGACCTTGAAATGATTTTGACTTGACCGAAATGTGACCTTGTAGGGGTAAACTATCCCCTAATTTAGTACCTTCCAAAAAAATTATATACGCACTAGTTGAAATTCAATACAGTTCTTCTACAATCAGTCTTTAGTTTGATCTTGAAATGACCTTGAATTGACTTGAAGGTGACCTTTAGGGTTACGCTATCTCCAGATTCAGATTCTGCGGGCCCAAAAATCTATACATTCGTCAAAATTCAATACAAATATTTTCTTCAGTTTGACCTTGAAACGACCTTTACCTGACCTCCAGGTGACCTTAGATAGCTAAGCTATCCCCGAATTCAGGTTCAGCGATTGGAAAAGCATTGTCCCTACTGGT